AGAAATCTTCGTCCAAACAGGTAGTGATAGAAATACTTAATTGCCAGCACTACGGCCAGTAATTCTCTCCTGGTGGCGCAATAGTTTCGTTCCACGGAACTGAAAGTCTTGCTGTAATATTCCATATATATTCCATATACTATGATTGGATGCATCGTTATCCAAAAGGGTCCGGGAAGAAGAGAACGGGTGGATCCGTCAACTTTTCTTTGAGAGAGCCGAAAGCTTCTTAGTTGCAGGGAGGCCAGGGGACCAAACGAAAATACGGTGGGCTTCAGCGAGCTCATGCAACGGCCGAGCTATCGTAGCGAAGTCCGGGATAAATTTACTGTAGTAGGAACATAGGCCCACGAAGAACCACATATCTTTTTGGCTCAGAGTTCGTGGCCAATCATTCACTTGGGTAACCTTGTCAGGGCATGCCTTCACTCCGTTGGGGCTTACAATATCTCCCAGATAATTAGGTTCGGTGCGAAAAAAATGACACTTGCTTGGACTCAGCTTCAGGCCGGCGTATTCCAGACGGTCGAAAACGTGCTGCAGATGAATAAAATGCTCCTTGGCCGTGCAGGAGTGGACGATGATCTCGTCTATATAGACCAGCACCGACTTCCATGCGACATCAGCGAGGAGACTGTCCATCTGCCGCTCAAAGGTAGCCGGAGCATTTGTCAGACCAAACGGCGTGACGTTAAGCTCATCTCTTTGCAAGTGAAGGCCGTCTTCCACCTTGAGTCTTCATCCATTTCCTCCTGCCAGTATCCGCTCTGCAAGTCCATTTCGTCCATCCTGGGCAGGGGACGGTGATGTCATTAAGTCGCCGAAAGTCTACGCAGAATCGCGTGGAGCCATCCTTTTTTAGCACCAACACCACGGGCGATGTCCAGGGCTAGAGACATGGGCGGATTACGAACTTGTTGGTGGTTGTTTGATTGGACACGAGTGGGTGGTACCTTTAGATTGACAGGCCAGGTTGGTGCGCCCAGTATCACCACACTGGGCGAATATGTTTTCGCCGCGCCATTCTATGGATAAATCTTGTGTCTGCTAAGAATTCCAATCGATTCACATGATTTGACGACAGCTATTTTCAACAAAGAGAAAACTGCACTCGTATCAATGACGATACGGTACGATACGATAATCACTATAAAACAATGTAAGCTCTTGACGCATAGGGTACCAAGTCTATGCATAGCTTTGGCAGAAAGCAAGGTGTTCCCTCGATGGGCAGGCTCTGCCGTAACGCCATTCAAATAGTGGTCAGCCACAGAGAGGGAGCGCGTGCCTCCGTGCTGGGTGGATGACAGCTCCTTGTTCTCACTTCGGACGGCGACTCATTAAACAACAATGCCAGAGTGGCAACAACTTCTTGCCGAAGGGGACTGACCTCCGGCAGAGGATTGTTTGGGCGGGTATACGGCGAGGTGCTCCGGCGAAGCGCAGAACCACAGCTCACTAGCCGGGAGCTCAGCTCGCGTCTCGTGGGCACTCACTCAACACGGGTGGCGGCTCTTAAATCAACGGTGCCTGGACAGCTTCAACTTTTGGTAAAGGGGCATAGAGTCCGGCGCAGGTTGGCTTGGGCAGTAACGTTTTCCCTGTGAGGTGCTGCAAAGGGCGTCGTATGGCTGTTTCTTCAACCAGTGGCGGCTGCCGGGCACTCGCACCAGGCGGCAGCTTTCCAAATAACTGGGCCTGGAGATCGTCAACTTCCTCGGATGAAGTATATGGTCCCGGACTAGGTTGTTTGGGCTTCAGCGTAATCACGGATAGGTGCTCCAGTGAATCGCCAAACATAGACGCAGCGGCAATGAATTCTAGATCCTGCATGGCAACTTTCTCAAACGGTGCATCGGTCATGTTACATGTTAAATGGGTCGTTTCATGGTATTAGTTCTTTTTCGAATTGTCAGATAAAATCGAGCAAATGCTCGCCGGGGCAGTTTCGCTTAATTGCCATCTTCCGCTCCCTGCTCTAGTTTTCCGCCGGAGTCACCCGGCCTAGAGGCTGGCCCAAGCTATTCCTTGTATTTTGCCGCAAGGGTCTGCCATTACCTCTTGGTGAGCGCACCTGAGTCGCAGACGTTACCGTCGTTACGTTCAGCACGATGCCAGAGGTCTGCCGTCGGCATTGCGCCTCAATACGATTGGCCATATTGAGTGCTTTCGTCAAGGTGCCCGGGTTACTGGTACGTCGTCTCGCGAAATACCGTCTATAAGTCGCTATATTAGGTAGTTGTTGTAAAACAGCTCGTCCCAGGCGATCCAGTTCCATTGCAAAATCTTCTAACGTTTCCTTGGGGCCCAGAAAAGTGTTCTTGCATGGCAGCAGTCAGTGCTGCGTAGCCTCCGGCGAGGTGACGTGGAAGCACTGGGCCAACCAAGCTCACGTAGAGCTTCCGGCATTTTTTGTTCTCCGCCTAGTGGTAATCCTTTGCCATGTTGTCTAGAAGACGCTTAAACTAAAGCCAGGGTATTTTTCTGTCGTACACAAGAGTTGGTTGAATATTGGTTTAGCTTGCAGGGCGCCGCCGGGTTAGAGTGCGCCATGACAATAGCACACTGGTCCGGGTGCTGCGTTCAAACATCCTTTTCTGAAGGCTGTGCAGCGGTCTTCCGCAGATCGGACAGCGGCCTCGTATCTTCGCAATTTATCGATGCTTAAGGCAGTGCCGACACTCGTGGAGTGCGTGCAGCAATCCCATCGTTGGCAGTGGGAGTGGTGGCCTGGCTGACGCCTCAGCCGCCTTAATATCCTCGGTGTGGCCGAATGGCCCCTGCAGGCCATCTAACATGGTGCCTTCAAACGAAGACCACAATTCTTGGAACTTTTGCTCGAACTGTTATTCTCGGGGATCCATGCGGCTGTCGAAGAGCTCTACACGTCGGTCCAACGATCGATTACGTGCGTCTAAGCGGTCGGCCATCGTATCAGCCACCTTCTGCGCCTCCAACAACGTCGACATGAACTGCGGCTGTTGCGCGGCTGTCTCTAGTGTTGTCTTCCGTTGGCGAGCCTTCTTATTGGGCATTATGGGCCGTGTGTTTGCAAACACAAGATACTACCCCACTCCTGACAGTAATGTAGCGAAATTGGACCACAGTGAATTGACATCGCCACGGGTAGCCGAGCAGCACTAATTATAACAAACACCCCTAAAATGAATTTGAGCAAAGATCTTTGTTCAAATGAGTTTGGGGCCGATCGGATGGTAAACAAAAAACTTTCATACAACCGTTTTCCGCCAATTTACTACTGTTGCGGGTGGAATTTCCCAAATCGCTGAAATACGTATTTATTAAGTTCTTATATTGTACTTACGGGTGGAATTTCCTGAAACCCCGTCTTAACGTGCACCTACATCACATGAGGTAGCTACAGTGAAAATTTCAGCTTCCTAGCTCTTACGGTTTGGGCTGTGCGTTGATCACCAATCAATCTGTCAGTCAGTCAGGACCAACAGTTTTATATATAGAGATAACATATGTCTACAGTACTCAATTCCAACCCCTTATACATAAGCTCTAGCAACCAAGCACATCACCTAAATATTGTAATACGATACACACCAGTTGGAATTTTTAACAATAACAATAAACCTTAGACATTAACATCCGCTACAATCGTTATTCCCACCAAATGCCCAAATTGCCAACGCAGCGCAAATTCAGGCTCTAAGAATATTCTAGAAAACTCATAAAGAGAGTAAATAATAAAGAGCATTGCTAAAAGAGAAAAAGCTCATGATCTTGAAAGCTCAGCCGAAGTTTGCTAAGCGTTGACAACAGTTTGGAGTTTTGAGTTTATCCGTTTCATCCAAACCGTCAAGTTGAATATATTATTCCTGTGAATTCCGCTTAAGTTACGTTTATTAAAATTTTATTTTTTTTTTAACAACGCGTTTTGACTTATTTAATTATATATATATATAATATATCTAATAATATAATATATCCACATGTTTATATATAAGGTTCTGCCTTCTATGAAAAATGGCTTCACGGAATAGAATCATTGGTTTAACGTCTTCGTCGTCTCGCCCACTGCTGCTCCTTGATTCAGTCTTCTGGTTCAGCGCCGGGGAAAAAGTAGCCGGATCCCTCATTGTGCTTTTTGATTTATTTTTTTGTTTTGTATAAGGGTCGATTGTAACTACTCAATATTTTTTAATTTTTGTTTTTGTACGGCACAAGTTTATATATGTATAACATATAGGTTAACAATTTGCACTATCTGATAAAAATTTAATATTCCCAAAATTGCCTTTACAATCTAGCAATAGTATCTAAGGTAAAATTATTGATGAAGAACATGAATATAATGAAAAAAAATACTAAGCGTCGTTCGTAAGAAAAAAATTTTTTTATTCAATGTACTTCGAAAACGAACGACGCAAAGCAAGATCGACTAGCTTTGGTGAGCGAAAAGCCAGTCGGCTGGCGTGACGCTTGAAGAGCAAACAGGCAGATGACAAGGCTAGAGATTTTGTATCGCATTCAAATGTATGGGCGTTCCTCATCTTAGGGTTGATATTGTCTTTGCCTGAGCATACTTGCTAATGACCTACTTGCAAGTGCAGTTCTTGCCAAATAATTGTTCCTTGTATCTAAGATAGCCCAACGCTGACTACTTCACGCATTCTTGTTCGGTAAAATGATAATATTAAGCAATCTTGGCCCACAACAAAGCTGCGTCTCAAAAAAAGCCTTCAAGCAGAGGTTATGCCTGAATTAGTATTTGCATTTTTATTTGCAAACTTTGTCGAAGACTACAAAATGAAAAAATAGCATTTTTTAAATAATGAAATCGAAGTCAAAAAGACGATTGGAATGGTCTGGTAGCTAAGACTCGAAAATCATTAATTCACATTCGCACCCCAACTTAATATTGGCTAGACATCAAGGAGATCTATGTTCCATATGCCTACTATATCCAAGGCTGGATATATTTACATTCTTCAAGGCCATACTTTAACATTAATTGAAAAAGAGCAACATTTTAAAAAGTTAGTGTTATACTCAATTTTACATGTACAATATTAAATTCAGATACTAGCTTTAGAACTTAAAATTACCTATTTAATAATAACAGTTGTAGCCGAGATCGGACCATATGTGTTTCTGTTAAAAACGAGAATTTTTACTTAAATCACAGAAATGCTAAGTAACTTACATTTATTACATCAAAATTTTAGGTCCTTTATAGCCTGTGGTAAGTCTGGCAGTTTCATGTCCTTAATTTGTTGTGGAATGTTCATGCTTTTTACAACGCTTACAGCACGAGCTGGTGCTGCAGATATTCCTGATTCTTGTTTAATCAACCTATTTTGGTCTTCAATCCTGGTTATTATATCGTTCATATTAGTTTGCAGTACCATTCCGCCCATAACCAGCTCTGACAGAATATGATGAACGGCATCAGCATGAAATATTAAATCCAGCTCACACACGTTTTCGAAACACTTATCCAAGGTTTCGACGAATACTTGTATCAAATCAAGTATACCAAGCTCACTCTCCGAGGAGTCAACACAAAATACAAAGTACAGTGTTGCATAATGGCGGTATATTAGCTTGTAATCTGAGCCGCCTATCAAGCTAAGGCACGAAAATGTAATATTTATATGCATGAATATGTAGGAATATATACTTTACTAAGAATCTATCTTTTTAAATTTCACATACAATGTAAAATGTATTCATAAATATACGAGAGTTCATTTTCCGGGTTTATGAAACTTTTGGCCCTTTCGTATGTCACACAGATTTGTGCATAAACCAAAGGACGGCTTAAGCTTTATAAATGTTCTTTTTGATCCAAAAGCCCTCTGTCTAGTTACTACTTAATACATATCAATTACATATTATGTTCATTTCATTTCAATCACAAATTCACAGCAAAAATCAACTAAAGTAACACGTATCATATCTTCTATGGGCATAGCATATTAAGTTTGTGCGTGTTAACTTCGGATTCATAATTGCATACAATTACCTGCCGCCTTCCAGGAAATTGCAAACGTTATCGTCACGCTTTGATACTAATTGGAACGTCTCTTTAATGATTTGTTGTTGAAGGTTCTCATCCTATTAAAAAATTTTAATTAGTAAATTGTTTGTATATATATTGTATATAGTTTTGTCATAGTTATACATAGAGTATTACACATAAATGGGTTATCTGGAGAATTACTTAGCTTCAGTAGATTTGATTCTGGGTCAAACAATACATCTCATTTATATATAAATTATATATATGTTATATTATATATAAACTCTCCTTTATGTAATAAAAACAAGTTGAAAACAAAACAGCATCATGTTTCTTATGCTTGAACTTGTCCGACAGTAAACTACATATGTACATAGGCTTTTGTCTGCCTCTGTACATAAATATACACTTTTATTTAAAGCAGTATTACCACCTAGTTTTACGTACAAAATATTGATAAAATTTAGATAATCGAGGCTTCCCATGATTGTTAAATACTAGTATAGCCTTTATCATATTTAATTCTTAAAATCAATATTAGAAATATTCAAGATACATATGTATATTGTCTATCAAAGAGATGACAATGTCAAGCGAAGAAAAAAAATTGTTTAGCCCGTTACAAGCAACTAGTATTTAAAAGTACTAGTTACTCTCGTTACCAATTTGAAAAGACTAACATAAAAACATGTTTTTACGATAATAATATATTTTCGGGGAACGAATGAAATTTATTAAAGATGTGAAACTGATGTTTTCATTGGGAACATCTAACATCTTTCAAAATGACAGCCATAGAAAGTGATGTAGAAAAGTGCTCGAAAAATATTAAATTTTAAAATAAATTGTTAACTGTTGAATTTTTAAATGCACAATGCATTTTTTTTAATGTAAAAATTTATAATATAAATTATTTGCATTTCGAAGAAATTGCATCAGCTGTGCCTAAGAATGTTCAATCCTGGACGCTATTTCTTTCAGCGTGTAGCTTTGGGCTTGCTGGTGCTCCCGTTGGGATTTTGGCATCTCCCGTGCAATTTCAAGCCGTTCCCGGCAAATGCTGACAAGCTCGGCTTGGTGGTCAACCCTGAAGCGCTTTACAGGTGAAGGCTCTACAGTGCTGTCGCTGCTGACAGAAATTTCAGGGTCGAAAATAATCACGTCATTTTCGGCGTACTCGGTAGTATATGCTAAATATAATACGCATATGATTACAACTTACTATAGTGTAGAATCGCGTTATTTGACATGTTGGATCGACGTCAGGCTTATCATTGATTTTTATTGAATTAAAATGTGATTATCGTAGCTAACAAATTAGACTTAGCATAAATATGTATGTTAAAGCTAACATAGTCTGAGAGGGAGGGCGAACTCATGTATATACGGTTGCATTAAAGTATTAGCGCGCGTGTACATAGCTCTTCCGGGCATTGCCCGTGGGATGCATGATCAACCTAAGTCCATTGTTGACATTGGCAATATTTAAGATTGTATCAAAGTGTTATAATGGGCATGCATGAATACACTACACCTCTACCTTTTTTAAAAAAATAACGTTATTATATAAAGTTATTGGATGCTTTAAATGTAAAAAAAAAATTTTCTTGTGTTTTTAATTTGTGTATTTATGTATGTTACTTTATTTACTACTGGTATTTATTTTTTTTTTTTGCTTTGTTGCGTAAAGTTTTTAAATTCTCATAACTTTTTCTTTTACTTTGTGGAATGACTTTTTAATAACTTTTTTTTATGGTTGATCAGACCAATCTTTAGATAAATTTACATGTAACGTTAAGTGTAAAGCAATTTGAATCTTTCCTTATATACTTATTGTTTTTTATTTTAAGAATCTATTATGATGATATTATCAATTACCATTTTTTATTATTTTAAAGGGTATATCTAACTTCTAGCTTATGACCTGTTTCATTTCTTAGTAGGACTTAGTCTCCTAATTCTAATCTAAAATCTGACACTCTCCTATCATAATATTCTTTTAGTTTTTTCTTATTATTTTTAATCATTATTCTTACTCCCTTACAGGCTAATTCTAATCTGTATTAAGATTCCTTTGCGTTATATTTAATATTATAAAGTGGTTCTATTTTATCAACTGATATGTATGAACCTCTGTATTCGTTTAAGGCTCAGTGATTTCGTTCCACAGTTCCTAACGTCTGGTGACCGTGCGCTGTGGACGTAATTGTGTCTATTTTTAGATATTTGCATAAGTCGTTAATTATGGAATTCTTGTATTCAGTACCCATGTCCGTAATGAACGTCTTCTTGGGACTATAGTTTAAAATAAAATCGTTTCCATTTTCTGACTTAGGTAAGGGCCAATGTTGTCGACAAGTACTTTGTCGAAAACACTTATTGGTGTGTCTGTAATGGTTAATGGGGTCTTAGTGTGCTTGATAGTTTTAGCCTTTTGACATTTCTGAAATTTACGTACGTAATCTGTTATATCACGTGTCATATTTTTCCAATAGTAATGTCTTTTAATTTCCGCTATTGTTTTAGAAATGCCTGTATGACCTCCTTGCAAGGGTTCATCATGTAATGTAGACAATATTGCTTCTTTTTCTTTATTTGTGTTTATTTGGGTCACCGGCTTGAGTAGCGCTACTCTAATATATATTGTCCATTTTTTTAAAGTATCTATTGAAGTGTTTTCAAAGATTTTTTCGTTCGGTGCCTCTTTGAGTTGGCTAATCTTATTTATGCCGGCTTCTGTTCAAGCCTTTGGAAGAATTGACCTAGGTCGAGAATTCCATTGGTATATAGATTGCTAGTCTCAATTCTTGCTATATCTTTTTTTTACCATGTTTTAGTAAACATTTGAAAATTGTTAATGGGAAGGTCACTACTTTTCGCACATCGTCATTCGTAATCACATGATACACGTTGGGCATAGAAGCATTTTCAAGATTTTGCTTTTGCAAATTTTTATGTTCATTTTCATTATTATCTCCAGCGCATGATTTATTTTGTTAACTTCGTTGTCACGTAGTGACTTATAAGACTTGGCTCGTCATTTCTTTTAACTCATTGATTATTATTCTTGACAACGCATCTGCAATATAATTATCTCTACCCTTAATTTATCCTTGAAATGTTTGCCATATACGTATGGGTGAAAATGTTTTATTGGCCAGTGGATTGCAGCTAACTCTTGTTCTCTTGTTGATTTGGCACTCTCGCCTTTTGTAACGGTTCTTGAGGCGTATGGTACTGGTAGATGTGTACCATTGTGTTCTTGTGTAAGAACTGCTCCGCACGCTTACTTACTTACGTCGGCTGTAATGCAAAATTCCTTGCTGAAATCAGGGTATTGTAGCAATGATGGCTAAAATAATTATCTTTTTAGATATTCAAAAGCTAACTGACATTTAGCTGTCCATTCGAATTTTACATTCTTTTTGCATAAACGTGTTATGTGACGAGAATAATCCGAGAAATTTTTAATAAAACGTATGTAATAATTATAAAATGCAAAAAATCTTCTAGCGCTATCTGCGTCCGTTGGGACTGGGTATTTCTCAATGACATCGTATATTTTGTCATCTGGTAAGATACCCTTGTTGGTGCACATGTGACATAGAAATGTTACTTCGTGCATGAAATATGAGCAGCTCTCTGGATGTATCTTAAGGCTCTGCTTCCGACACACATCAAAAACATTTGTAAGGTGTTTTTCGGAACAACCAATAACTATCAAGTCGTCCATACATAGAAAAGCTTGAGAATGTTCAAGACCTGAAAATGCCATTGTCATCATTCTTTGGAATGAGTTAAGAGCCATTTTAATTCCGTAAGGTAATCGCGTGAAACGATATTGCTCGTTGAAAAAGACATTATATTTCAAGAATCTTTATGAACTTCAATCTGGTGGAATCCACACATTAGGTCGAGACATGGAAATTATTTTGCTCGTCCTAGTTGATCAAGAATATCTTCTATTTTTGGAAGTGGGAACTTGTCAGCCAATAATTTTTTATTAAACCGACGATATTCTACTACTAGTCGCCATCTTTTGTCAATGGAACCTCGTAAAGGTCTGGGCTGTTTTATTCTGTTACAGACGGTTCTACGATTTTTTCGCGTATTAATTTAACTACCTGAGATTTCATTTCTTCTTTATGGGTATGTAGAATTCTATAATTTTTAAAGTATACAGGCTTCTTGACTTTTTTTATCTCAAATTTTGTTTATAAAAGTTATTTGTGGAAATTCTTTCCGATTCTAGTCCGAAAAGGTCGCTATATTCCGTGCAAAGTTTATTTAGTAGTTAAGCAAATTGTTTGGTACAATTTTTATTTAATTTTGCTAATACTTGATTTCGTCTTATGATATTAGATGGGTTTAGAATATTTTATTTACTGAGTGGATTATAGGAAATATTTTCGAAGTCTACTATTTCATTACTATTTTTGGTGTTTAAAAGTCGGTTGTAGGGGCTTGTCGAATCTGTAATACACGCTCCAATAAATATACCATTTTTTATTTCTTGATTCGTAATTGCGTTTTAATATTTGTGGGTCTGACTATTAAACAATTTTGATATAAACCGATAACCGTTACCGAAGTTGTTAATACCGATTGTAAATAAAGCTAAAGATTATATTTTTCGTTAAAGTTTACCAGATTATCCCTCAGACGCTGTAAAGTGTCAGAAGTTTGGCTTCTGTGTAAACTTGTGAGTTTATGTTGACATTCATTAACAAATCTCCTGATTTCTTTGTATTCACAAACAAGGATCTCAGTGTGTTTGATTATAGTCGGTCGCAAAACTGGTGAGCTTTTATTAAGGCACTTGTATGATTTTTTGAAGTTTGACCTCTGCAGCGTTATTTTCTTAACTATTTTGGACCGTTCCATGTGGAACTTCCCCTACTTGGACATTGTTATTTAATGGATTAGCTACGCATTTAACATTTTCTCAGTTACTTTTTGTGTAGAAGTTATTCTGCAGCAGATTATTTACTGAGGCTATTACAATTAGTATAATTAGCAGTTTGTTAACTGCAAATGGGGTGTGGTGGCTAAACTTCTACCACGTTTACTAAAATACATTGGCAGTGTTATCATCTGCCTTGGACTGTTTTCCACCCATTTTTATACAATAACTTGGCATATTTTTCAGTCGGACAATTAGGATTAATCGCAATAACTTTTGTTATTACTAAAAATTTTGATAAATTTTATGAATTTACGATTTTTATAACTTTACCTAACAGAGTTTTATTGTTCGATTACTTTTACACTACAAGTTGTTTTATCTTATTTTTTTTATTACATAATTATTAAATTTGATATAATGTAATGAAGTATATATTGCACACTTTTGCTGCAACCTTCGACGGAACAACATATCACAGCATAAACCGGCGGACAAAAAAAAAAAAAAAATACAAGCACTAAGATATATAAAAGGTAAAAGAAAAATAAGTAAAATAAAATAAAGTTAAAAACAAGACCACCTCAGCCAAAGGAGTGGACAACGGAAGAGACAACGGATTGGTGAAATAGCTGTACTGGAGTCGTCAGCAAAGTGGAGTGCCCAATAAGTCTGCTGTGCTGCAAGCCTAACGCTACC